AAAGACGGTTACTCACCGTTGTAACTGTTGTTCTTCGAGATGTGTTGCTCATATCCATTCCAAAACCGCCCCCCTTCCCCACTGTCGGAGTAGCCGGCAAGAAGGAACTGAGGGGGCGCCGGGTCGGCTGGGGTATATATTCAGCGCCATGAAGGCGCCACTCTAGGGGGCTCCACAGCCGACCCACCGGTGCTGCTAGGGTAGAAAATTCTCCGACGATCGTGCACGCGGCGCGCGCACACCTAATTGGAATGGATATGAGCAACACATCTCGAAGAACAACAGTTACAACGGTGAGTAACCGTCTTTTTTTATTTGCTTACATGGTTTCTTTGGACTGGTACTGTAAAACAGCAAAATTTGTGGTTTGTTTGGTTTTTTTACAACTTTTCTGCAGCCACATCCATATTTTCTTATTTGCTGGATTATTTGGGGTATAATTCAGGATTTCTGCACGTGGCCTGAGTTACCTGAGACATTCAATAAAACTGAAAGACAGCAAATTCAAAACTGATAACAAGAAATGCTCTTTCTTACAGTGCATAATTAACCCATGGCACTTGGTATCTCTGAGGCTAAAAGTTCAATAGGATTCAAAAAGAGGTTGGACATTTAGTTAGATAATGAGAACATCCAGATTTACATTAGATAGGATAGGTAATAACTTTTTTTTAAAGAAAAGTAAATTATACAAACCCTGATGTTACTGGGCATAAGCCAACCACTAATTGATGGGGGGTTAGGAAGAAATTTCCTCTTTGGGCAAATTATTTCACAATAGCTTACCTTCCTCTTAAATACCTCATCTGGATACTGTTACTGACAGGATACTGGGCTAGATGGCCACTGGTCTGATCCGGTTTGGCAAGTCTTCTCTTCCTTATGTAGCAATGGGTGGATGACATAGATAGATATTTCTTTGAAGTGAAGAGAAATTGAATTTTTTTCTTTTTATTAATGAAAATGCTGGCTAATTCTCATCCATCTCTGATCACATAGGGGTTCCCTGTAATATAAGCTCTAGTAGCAATAATGCCAGACTAGAATACATGTAAGCACAGACAATTTACTAAATGTCTTCTCCAAAATAGAACCTACTACCATAAAATGGCTATTATGATATAATCCACATTTTTTCAGACTTTTTTTTTAACATTTACTAATAGCACAACTCTGTAAATTGATTTTTGTTGGTCTTTTAAGTGAACACAGGACAGGTTTAATATATTTTTGATGTTATCTAATATTACAGTTGCTAACTATAAAACAGAATAACATCATTTTTGTCATGCTCTTCTCTTAGACGCCAGAGGAATTGGAAGATATATCGGACCTTGAAGAAGACTATGATGCACACAGTCGTACCAGTGTTCAAACTGAAGGGAAAACTGACAGGGTATGTATTAGATAAGTTTAATTAAAAAGCAGTTTGAAGAAGGTAAAAAAACCCCAAACCCTAACCTGTTCCTAGTGCTGTTCCTGTGAAGCAATTTTAAGTCAGACAGTGAATCATCAAAATGTTGTTGCCCTCTTAATACATTTCTGAATATATGCATGGGACGTAGAACTGAAATATATATGTATTGAAGTGACAAAGACAGACCTGATTACGTTGTAAATATCCTGTGAAGATTTAAACCAGCCAGGCAACTTCTTACACATAAACACATACCTATGTAGACTTCAACTTGCTAAACTTTAATAATTGTTAAGTTGCCTAACCAAGGTTAGGTTAACCGTGTATCTTGGCATTCAGGTTTTATTTGTGGTTGAAGTTTGTGATGCACTATATCCAAAAAATGACTTCTGTATAGAACGAAAACAGCCCGGCAGCACAAAAAGGCCTTGGTTAGAAGCTTTGCTGCAGCAATGTGGGTGTAATGGGATTACTTCCCGAGGAAGGAGTACGTTCTTTGACAACTAATATAATACTGTTATAACAGAAATAATAAATAGATCTAGTAAAAATATTTGTGAAACTTTTCCTTAATTTAAAAATGGATTTTCACAAGAAAATTTAGATTTTACTGCAATGTTTTTATTTTTTGTTTAGATAATCAAAAATATTTAGCCTTTTTATAAACATAACAAATCAGTGAAAATTTTGAATGAAAACAAAAAATATTGTATTTTATTTTCCACATTTTAAATACATTGTTTTTGACCAGCTTTAATTATAAATGAATAATTTATAAAATAAATTAAAAAAAATAAACTTTTGGGGCAGCATGCGGTCAAGTCAAGCTCTTTAACATGATAATTAAGGATTAGATTTACTCTCATATCCACGAGTAGTCCAACTGTAAGTGTATCACAATATAGTCATAAAGAGTTAATCATAGTTGTCAGACAAATTTACTAGGAGGTGTTTGAATTAATCCAAGTATAGTGGATGACTGATTGCAAATCTAACTTTAAAAATTAGAAAACTATTGTTAATCTGGGAAAGTTTTTACTAGGCCTGTGGTGAAGAAAGTTAAACTGACAATTTTTAGAAAATAATTGCAGTGTTATTGGATGTATTTTCTCTGTCTAAGTAGAATACCAGTGCTTAATAAGTGGTACCATTTTGCCTAGGTCTCATTGAGAGAACTGGGTAAAGTTAGAGAAAAAGCTTTTCAGGAAAATACACGTGAAATTTTTGGCCAGTTTGTTCAATGTGATTTCACTCCCCTTGAAATATTGATTTTCTTTTTAGTCAAATTTTAGGATATTGAACTTTTCTTTTCTTTTCTTTTCTTTTCTTTTCTTTTCTTGAGTGAAGCAAGAGAAAACTCATCACATGTGCATAGCACTTGAGTTAGAGTTCCATACAGGCAAACCCCCAAGCCATACTTTCTGTCTAGATCTAAAAGCCTCTTCAGTTTCTGTTTGGTGCCAAGGTGCTAGGGAGTGACTTCAGCTCCCATCACCAGGGTCTTCAACCTCAACAATCTCTGCTTTTTAACTGACCAAGGCTAATATCAGTTTGACCAAATCTTTTATCAGGACAGCAGCATGCAATATTATGTAGCCCTTGGCAAATCATTACATGGTGCCCTCCATCTAAATAGTATGGTTTTGCTTGCTTTTTTGAAAGCAACATTGCAGGACCAAAATGACTTACTTTCCCCAGTTTCAGTTATCTGATAATTAATTATCAATTGATTCTTAAAACAATGTGAGAAATGTAACTACTGTGTGAAAGATTTTCTCCTACAAAGTTATTACTCAGTAAATACGGTTGACAAGTAAGATATAACTGCTGCCCTTTTCAATGTAAATTATGCCTAGAAATTGTTACCACATTTCCTCCCTATTACAAGCTAAAAAAATCCTTTTGGCCCAACTGTATTAATAGGAAGATTTTGGTATCTTCATAAGTAAAAAGTCATTTAAAAAAAAACAATCTGTCATAAGTTTAATTTTTCCAGAAGCAACACAGAGTCTTGAAAGCCTAATGACAAGAATTCAGGGCATATTGCCAATAACTTTCTTCTGTAATTTTAAGTGCTTCTGCTAATAGTGGCTTTAATGTTTAATACAGAGCACAATAATCCCAGTCAAGAACAATGATTCATCAACAGAATCACATTTTCCTGCATAATTCATATGTTCTCATAATTTCAGTAAAGGAAGGGACTGGCATTATTAGATGGCTCAGGGCATTAGCAATGTGATATGTAGCCTTTCGTTTTCAGGATTAAAATCTAGCCCAGGCTTGGTGTTTTTAAGGGGTGCTATTATGTGGCAGCTGTTCAGTTTCCTGTGCAAAATGAGTTTGGTGACCTCAATCTGATTCTTTGCGGCTGGATACCTGCCTACATCGTAAACAGTACAAAAGTTGTCACTTACTGGAATCCATCTTGGTGAGCTCAGCAGTTGAAAGAATGGGCAATGGTGGCATGGAAGGTGAACTAACGTCTCACCCCTGAAGTAAGTCCCCTCCAGGATAGGTTTGAATCACATTGGCAGGGCAAGGGAGACGTCTAAAATTGGATAAATAGAGTGCTTAATTAAAAAGTAATGTGTAAGGTGGTGCAAGAATGGAATCAGTAATTGGGTCTATGTTGGTGTAATGAACACACAGGGACATGAAGGAGGTTCAAGTTAAAATACTGTGATGGTTACTTATTTTAAATGTTCTGCTAATCTCCTCTGAGTTGCTTTTCTTTCCCCTCCCCTCATCATTTAAACCAAATTTCAATGGAATATACTCATTAGGGCTGGTCAATTTTTTTTTCAATTTAAGTTATTTTATTGAGAAACAGTATTTTGTCAATGATGACATTTTTGGCTTTTTCATTTTCTATTGAATTTCAAAATGAAAAAAATTAAATTGTTTTTAAAAAGTGGGGAAACTCCTACTTTCTCTCCATTTGTATTCCCTCTATCCCCACAATGGGAAAAGTGGGGAAAGCTAAAAAGAGAGAGGGAAAAATACTTTCCCTCGTTTATTTACTTTGTCCAACTGGAAACGTGTGTGAGTGTGTGTGGAGTTAGAGAAACGGGAAAGAAACCCCAAAATTACTAAACAATTTTATTCAGAGCAAACATGTTTAGTAAAAAAAAAAAAGGAAAAATAACAATTCTCAGACTCAGTGAAAGCTGTTCAATTCCACTATTGTTTATTATTTAATTATTATTTTTATTATTATTATTATTATTTGGTGTGGAATCCTTCCCCCACCAATTTTTTTAATACTGTAATATTCAGATACTTTTTTACGCTCCAGTAATTACCAGCAAAATGAATTCAGAATGTACCAATCTCTGGAGTATCTTCACTCCCATCTTCTGGGATTGTCAAAATATTCAGTTTTGTTCCAACATGCAAAGCACTTTTGACACAGAGTTTTAAAGGAAATTAAATTATTACATGTTGAGAGAGATTCCGTCAATGTAAAAAGACCCCCAAAGAGATATTTAAAATAATATTGCAAGAAGCAAAAAAACTCAATATACTTACAAAGGGAAAAGTCCTTTATTATGATGTGACTAAAAATACACAAGAAATTAATACATCACAGCATAAGTCAGACTGAATCTTTCTGGTAACTTCCTCTACTCTTGTACACCCTGCTAAAATGGTTCAGCTTGCCACATTCCTTGTAATGCTGTCCTAGTGTGAGGCACTTCTTCTTTCCCTGCTCTTGCTGGCTCCCACATTAAATGCATCTCACTATGGATATGGAAGCCTGACCACCTGTCTCCTTTGCTGTAGTCTCACTGTATGTAATTCTGGGGGTGTTGTGCCTCCTGTGACTTTTATCCTTTCTCTTGAGGCTTCTGCTACATGCCACATGTCTAACCATCTCTCTAATGCAAGATCACCTTCCTGGAACAGCTGCTTCTGTTGGTGGTGATCCTAACTGCTGCAGACTGTTCTGTCCCAAATTAAGGAGTCTGTCAAGTCCCTAAAATTACATGTAGCAGTCAGTATGCCTCAGGGGTATGCCCCCTCCCCTTTGGATTGGTCTGTATTGAAAAATCTGTTTCGTTCCATAGTTTCATTCCACTTTGGGAGGCAATAAGTCCCCAGGTCTCCTAGGACTGCTATGAGGCTTGAGGCAGTGGTGAGCTACATAGTGGTGCCTTGTTTCGAGTAAAGTAAACTAACAGTTTTACTTTCCAGCTGCTGTTGTTCTCCTGTATGGCCAAGCTGTGTACAGCTCGAACCTCCTTCCACCAGGTCCATTGCTGGGTTAGGATTGTGCCTGCAAAGTCCCCTGGGGAGGCTACAGAACAAGTAGCATTGCTCATGCTGTCAGCTCCTGCACTTAAAAGAACTCAAAGCTCAGATTCTGCCACCATGTTTCATTAGCAAAGAGTGAAGCTAACTGCATGTTACGTTGCACAAGGGGAACTTTATTAAAAGCTGTGTGCTGCTCTGTCCATGTTTCTTCCAGCGTGTGTTCCTCTAGTGCCTAGTCAATAACCGTCCCTCCACTCTGACTCTAGTTACACTGATGGAAATACACTCTGTGCATTTTTATCTATGAATACATGAATCTTCAGATTTCTATGTAGTACCTCTTTGTCAAAAAACCTTATGGCTGTACACATACTAGAAAAAATAAGACTTTTAATTAAGAGATAGTGGACAGAACTTTTGTTATCTGTTATAATAGCAGTCCCTTGCCACACTGTGTACTATGCTCGAAAAAATGTTCACTAGAGTCTTGCATACAAAACACATGTCTGTGTTAGTAACCTTTACCAAACACATACCTGCGTACTTGTTAAACTGTGCACATCTGAAAAATATACATTTGAATGCAGCCAAATTTATGGTCATACATTCAGGAAAAAAAGAATGTAACTTATAGTTAGAGCTGGTTAGAACTTTTTTGCCTAAATATTTGGTTTTACTGAAGTGTTTTGCAGAGATGAATCAGTTTCCACTGAATTTTCATCAGAGAGAGAAAGACTGACTCTACTGATGAG